CAAAAGGAAGAGACCTTGCCTACATTTCCCACAGGAAGGTTCCTCTACTTTACTATCCAGCAGGAAGAAAACTCTCCACCCACTGACGGCCCAGCCAGAGACCGGCAGCCTAACCAACAGGCAAGAAGCCTCCGTAAGTGGGACTCCCAGCTTCCTCCAGTGGACTCTTTGGTTATCACAGCCCCTCCCAATTATGTCCTTTTCCCAGTAAAAGCAAGTTCTTTCCTGTCCTCTGGGTTTGTCTATGGCATAGTTCTCACATCCCAAATTGAAGTTCCTCAGCTCTTCTTAAATAAGCTCACTTTTGCTGGCAAAATAACTGGCTGTTATATTATTAAAGTTGGCACAGTTATCAAGCATATAACGACAAGGAGAGAAAAGGAATTAAGAGGAGGGAAAAAAAGAAAGTTTGCCCTCGACGTTTGGGACTAATGTTCAGGAACGACTGTCGTTGATCACAATGGACTGCAAGAGCTCCTAGAGGCCATAAAGTCCAAACATCCTTTTTATTTAAAACATTTTGTATTTTATGTATTGATTTTTTTAATGCCCTCATTTTAGAGGTGAGATCCAGATAAGAGACAATTTCCCAGTGAGATAGGATGGGACCTGGGACCACTTACCCGAGTGCTTGCACCTGGGCAAATGACTCCCCCAGCAACAGAATAAAAGGGAACTACAAAGGACTAGAAGTAACTGCACGCATGTCCAGTTGGGGAAACTATGAACAATAAGATACAAAAAGGCCACAAATCAACTGACACTCCTGAGGCGCCAGGAGGAAAAGCAGGGTACTGCGCACGATCCCTGCACACAGCACCACCAAGGAGGTGGGCAGGCCAACTAAGCTATGCCTCCTGCTCAGCCCAGGGACCCGCCCCTGTTGTTACCCCACTTAAGGGACTAGCTCGCCCAGACTCAGGGAGTGAGCAAGGGCACCTGTTACTTGTTTTTACTCCTTCCTGCTGAGTCCCCATAAAGCCTTGCCTGCATGTCTTGTCTGACCTCTTACCAGTTTCTATTGAGAGTCCAAGGGCCTGGGTCAGTAACACCAACGCAACATTGCAAGTCACTAGAGATCCAAGACAGGAGTCCAGGTCCCTAGACTCCCAAATCAATCA